ATCAACAGTTTTAACATATTTTACAATATCTTTTGATGTTATTTTATGAAATTTAAAATTCTTTGCACACGCATTTACATTTTGTTTAAGTAATGATTCAGCGACGGCAGGAGAAGAATTCAGTGACTTAGTGGTTAATATCGGAATATCAGTAAAATATTTCTCAAAAACCATTGCAACGTCCTGATCTGATTCAGTTAGTTTGTTGTTAACACTTAACTGGTAGTTTGAATTGCGAGAGTTGATCTTACCAGTTTCGCTATTAATTATACTTCGTGTCATTTTAATTTTATTAGAAGCCGTCTTAATTTTGTTGCTGAAATGCCAAGACTTGGCTGTGGAGCACACTCTTTTAAATATTTTTGATTTTTTTTTCATATTCCCTAAATTCGACGCTATGATTATATGACCTTTCATGGTAAAGATTATATAACCTATGTCTGCTCTTATGGACTCCTACCGTCGCCCATTCATTGTATGAGTTCCGACTGTTCAAGGAGAATGTTTCAGAAGTAAAAGTACCATTAAATTCATTGCAAATAAGCTTAAATAATGTTCCATACAAAAAATTAGGATCATTTTGGTATGAAAGTGATGGAAGATTTTTCAATATGTTACTTCTAAATTTCTCCAACTTTATGCATTTACTGGAACAAACACAACTTTCTCATCTACTTGCTTTTTGTGAACATAAGGTAGCGATACTACTGGTCCACAGTGATCAGAACTTAATTTTTGAATTATACATTTATGCAACGGCTTCACATTTGTAAAAATGTTATCTATACGTGTTGCACTAGATTGAGCAATACGCGTTGGCTCTAAAAATAAATTAAAAAGACCATATGATTTAAACAATGACCTAAATTTAATATTGATGGTGGAAGCTTGATATTAAAGTCTCATATTACAATAGATGTATTCTGTTTATTAAGCTTAGCAAAAACTTCCTCCATAATTTTTTCAAAAGTATCTTATATAGAACATGGGGGTCTGTAGACGCTCACAACAATGAGGTGCTCAAAATCAACACATGCCATTTCTATAGTTCGCTGAACAGAGAGGCTCACAATATCTTTACGTTCTTTACATGTTAAAGTAATAGGTAGGATTTAGTAAATATTGGGTAAGTAAGTAAATATGTGGTAGGTTTTCACGAGTCAATAAAAAACAGAAATGAATTTATAAAACGATGATTATTAAATAAACACAAAACTCTAATTAAATTCCTGCCACTTAAAAATGTTCAATCTATTATATAACTGGCCGTTTGTTAGTTTTATCGCAGTTTTGCGAACAAGATATTTATCCTAATATCAATATATTTTTGGTGATGATGGACGAAGCACTGAAATGGAACATACGGAATGTTGGGCTCCTATTTGGGCCTTTTTATCTATCACCCACTTATTTGTTAATTCACGTCTTTTCGGAAAACTGAAATTAGATAAGTATTCAACTGCATTAAACTTAGTTATGTTTATACATAGTGTTTTATTTTATGATTCATATAGGTGGGGAATACAAAGGATCTTTATTTCTAATACTATAATTAAATTTATATAATTATTACAAAAGAAATCATGTTATCAAAAAGTATTTGAGTATAACGTGGCATTTATCTAATTCGGGGAAAAACGAAGCGCAAGGCGCAGGGCACGTGCTGTGTAACCCCCGCTGTGCGCCTCCCGCTACACCCTTTGACGCCTTAAGTAATTTTGTTAAAATCAGTGTATCGAAATATTACATACCGATGAAAAGAAATACCATTGTTCTTCTTATTTTGCTTCTGTGAATCGTTTTTGCAACTTGGCACTGCACGTTTCACCATGATAACTAAAAATCTAAAAGATAAGTAATAATTAACACGCGTGACGTTTTGTGGCTAATAACTTAATATCTAACGCGTGTTTACACTTTACAGTTTTAACTTCCTTACGCGCGTTCTAGCTCTATAGCTTGCTTATAAATACTTTAAGGGCTTTATCTATGAAATTGCCGTTCTGCAGTACTGGCCAATTAAAATCAAAATAATTTTTGTTTAGCTAAAAATTGTAATTTTGTAATTACAGAATTAAATTTATTTTAAAAACATGATTTTTTTTCAAAATTAGTCATTTGTTTATTTATCGTTATTTTTCATCGCATTTGAAGCTTTTTCTTCATGGATGTTTTAAAAATTCGAGTAATTATGGAATATGAGTACCGTCGTAGTACATAAGCGGCACGCAACATCAACGAAGTTTACGGAGCGAATAGTAAAAACGAACTCTCTACCTGTTATTGGTTTGCCCGCTTCCGTTCTAGAAAATGAACCCGAACGTCCGAAAACTTAAACAAATTAATTTGTTTCTGGAATTTATTATTATGTTTGGCAATGTTATAGTCAAAATACTAACTTGTTTTACGAAAACCATGTTATCGATTCTGCTGTTGGTGTTCAGCAGGGTGACCCACTCGGTCCAGTACTTTTCAGTTTGGGAATTCAACCCATTATTTTAAATTTGAAATTGGTGCTGAATGTCTGATACCTGGACGACGGTACACTGGGAAGTAGAGCAGATGACGTCCTCAGTGATCTTACCCATATTTTTCGAAATTTTTAAAAAAATATTGGTCTTGAACCAAATAGTAATAAATGTGAAATATCTTTTTCCAATATTTATCTACTTCTCATAGCGACACTGTAATTCAAAATTTCAATAATTTTCCTCCAGGAATAAAAACTGTTAGTACGGAATTACTATATCTGCTAGGTGCCCCGTTGTTTTTCGATAGTATTATACCTGTTTTAAAAACAAAATTTGATCAGTTTTTAAACCACGTTGATAAATTGTATAAATTAAACCCCCACACAGCTCTTATTATTTTAAAATATTGTCTTCTTGTACCTAGATTTACATACTTACTCCACTCGAGTCCAGTCTGGAAATGTTCGGATATTTTAAAATATATTGATAATAATCTTAAAATAAAAAATATTCAAAATTTAACTTTAAATACAACAGCCTGGACTCAAGCTACTACTTGCCTTCCTTGCTTCCGTGAATAGTGTCAGTGACTTATGTAACATAATATTAAACAATAAAGTAGACTTGTGTTATGCCTACGGAGCCAGGGCAGACATGGCAAACGCTCTGTCCCGGTGAAAATGTTCCGCTGTAAGTTAACCAACAAAAACAGTGGGATATTCCGTTGGTACAGAGCATGCAGAAATATTTATTTCATAACTTCCATAGTGACCAAGATAAGGCACGCCTTCTAGCTGTTTCGACTAAGTAATCTAGTCACAAGTTACACGCTTTACCATCAAGTAATCTCGGCACATTACTTGATGGGGAAAGCTTGCGCATTGCCATAGGAATCCAACTAGTAGCAGCGACTTGTCAACCCCATCAGTGCCCATGTGGTAGCAGCGTCGATAAATTTGGACTCCACGGGCTTTCATGTAAGAAAAGTGCTGGTAAGTTTTCACGACACAGTTCTCTAAACGATGTCATCCGAAGGGATCTTGTCTCTATAAATGTTCCATCGGTTTTAGAGCCTTGTGGAATATTTAGAGACGATGGCAGGAGACCTGACGGTATGACATTAGTCCCTTGGGAGAGAGGTAAAGCCCTAGTGTGGGATGCTACTTGCGTAGATACTCTGGCGGCCTCTCATCTCAGGGGTACCTCGCTTAGAGCCGGCGCAGCATCAGAGGCAGCTGAACTGAGCAAGTGGCGCAAATATGAGTCTCTGAGAGATGACTACATATTTGTGCCATTTGCTGTAGAGACTATCAGTCTGTGGGGTCCACGTGCGGTAAAGTTTCTAAAGGAACTCCATCCGCGGCTGGTCGTTGCTACTGGTGATAAGAGGGCTGGTTCTTTTCTCGCTCAAAGGTTAAGTATAGCCATTCAGCGGGGAAACACAGTCAGCGTTCTTGGCACGATACCGCGGGGAGTAGGACTATATGATAATTAAGTTTCTAGTTTTAGTTTTTTTATTATTATTATAGTTTTTATTATTGTATATAATAAAGATTACATAATATTTAGAAAAAAGAATGAAATAATTAAATCTTCAATATTATATTATGTTGCATTGGCAGATTTTACTACCGATAAAATTATAATTTTATAATGCATGATAGATATTAGAATTACATTATATTTAGCGAAACCAAGTTTTACAAATGATTAATTAATGTATTTTTATATATTTCTGACGTTACGACTATTTTACAGCACCCATGGTCACAGGGCATTTCCCTACTTATTGAGTGCTTTACATCACCCACAGTCACGTGGGCCCCCGAGTGCTGTAAATTAGTTCCACTTAATGCATAGTATAGATTAAGTTATACTAAAATACATATTATTCACTATGTAGTGAAGGTTCTTTATATACCTATATGATATTCAACTTTCTCGTATCTAATGTAATGCAAGTTTGCAAGCAATGTAGTTTTGTAGTTCTTTTTGATATCGATTATCGATCGATTTGATTCGTTATTTTTCTACATGATATAAAATAAATTATTACCTAAATTCACTTATATATTTTTACTGCCGATGATAAAATACAAGATAAACAACACAATATATATCCACTTCGTGACACTCTTCGTACGTCATAACAAGGTTTTTCCACTTTTGTAGTTTTTACTGTAAGTATATATCTATCAATTGAATCCGGTATAAGGTTTGAGAAACGACCATAATCACCACAACCAGACAACAAAAGCAAACAAGCGACAGGACACAGCCTGAAGACGATTTTTATTTACAACGGGAGAAACTAATACGTACGGTAGAGCCATGCTACAGCTATACTATGGTTGTAGCACGAATGGGTCAGCTCTATCGGGTTAGGACCACGCTCTCACAGAATAACGGGGTAAAAGAGCAGCTCAATGCTGCTGTGTTTCGTATGATGAGTGTAGAGAACCAAAGATCCTTTTTACTGGATTGGAGCGAAAAAATTTAGTAAAATTATCTATTTTTTTTTGCTTCCAGGTATCGGCCGCGTAGCTTTAGACGTCAGGCTGGGATGTCTATCGTCCAAATTAACTAAAGATTCAGAGCCGCAGCGTATAATCAACGCGGCAAAATTTGCGCTACGGAATGTTGCTGTGTTGGAGCTGCAGGCACCGTATTGGCGCTACTTTCCTACACCTCTCTGGACCAAATACGTGAATAATATGGACTTCTTTATTGAGTAAGTATTATTTTTAAATTGTCTTTATAAAATATCAGCATCATTATCTGATCAAATGATGGTGACTTCTAAAACCTGCAAACATTTAATGCTGGACGGCCCCAGTACACCAATATTTCGTAGCTAGGAGGTAATTTATTCGTAATATCAATAAGTATAAAAAATATCAAATATTTAAGAGTTTTAATACAATATTTTTGGATCTAAGGGATAAAATATCAACATTATTATCCAAAACCTATAACAGTCTAATGCCGAAGAATTCTAAAGGCCTATTACTCATATTTCTTCCGTATATTTACAGTCAGTTGCTTTGCATTGCTCATCGTTTCATCTAAAATGAGAATGTCATACGTTAGATTTTATTTTTTTATGAGACATCTATTATAATCCACTTTCTGTATCACATAACTATTGCTACTCACGGAGGTTAACCGAGAAGACCAAGAGAAGTCACGTCATAGTTCTAAGTTTAGACTGATGTTTGAAGCAAAATTTACTGTTCCGCTTTAGTCTACTGTGATTTCAACATCGCCATGATACGCTTCATGTGATCATATATATTTAACTATTTCAGTTTATGCAGCCGCTATATTAACGAAGCCCTCGAGCGCCTTAAAACTAAGAAGGTGACATCAGAAAATGATTTGTCGTTGCTTGAACGTGTGCTGCGGAGTGAGGGAGATCCTAAGATTGCGACCATCATGGCGCTGGACCTAATTCTTGTCGGGATTGATACGGTTCGTAATACAAGTCCCTTTAATCCTTATGTAGCGGTTTTTAGTTAAGTAGTTATTTAAACTAGTATCGTTTCTAGTCGAAATGCAACCAATTAATTGGTCAAAACATTTTAGATTATAAAATCATGTGTGCGTTCACTTTATTTTACTTGCCTTAACCAACAGCAACATTTTTTTTTTGTACATCTAAGACATAGTATCGGTGGAATTAAATATGTTTCATTCCGTTCATGTTGTAATGAATACTAAAAATGTACGACAATTTTCGACAAATTTCGAAAAGTCTCTAGGCTTGTTTGTCCTTACCACTTACGACACGTATTTAACGAGTATACGAGTATTACATAACACTAGCTTACCAAGACGTCGATGATATTGAATAAAACTATTTTTTTACGGATTTTATCGCGTTTAATTTACTATTTTCATTCCCGACGTTTCGGATGCTTTATAGTAATCCATGGTCACGGGTTTGTCCGGCTACCTTCAGTTTTTTAATATTAATTTTTGGTTCGATTTACGCAGAATGAACTTACAGTATCTTGAAGTCTTGCAGTGTTATGTATGGGTTTGGATTTAATTTTGTTAATTATAGGATCCCAAGCAGATGGCAGCACTCATCCATCTTCTCTGTTAAAATTAGGATGTTTTTTAATTTCAATAGCCTCGCGTATTATCCTTGGTAGGAATCGGTGTTCTTTTGCGAGGGTTTGTGGTCTATCAAATCTGATGTAATGGCGGCGATGATCTTGAACATGTTCACAGACTGCAGACTTCCCAAAGCGTCGTTGCTTCATGTCGGCTATATGTTCTTTCACGCGGGATTTAATGGATCTTTTTGTTAGTCCTATGTAAGATAGACCACATTCGCAATAAAGCTTGTACACTCCTGCATCTTGTAAAGGGATATTACATTTGACTGATGGTAAAAATTGACTAATCTTCTTCGGCGGCTTGAAGTATGTTTTAATAGAAGCTCGCTTTTAAATGTAGTCAACCTTGTCTGTGACACATCTGACATAGGGTAGTACAGCAGGCACATGGTCGACTGTGGTCGGCTTCACTCGGTCACGGTGACGTAGGCGCGGGACCCGAAGCTTGTTGCCTTGCTCGACGTACTGAAGCTCGGCGGCCAGATGTTTTCTGTCACAGATCCCTCGTGCTCTCTGAAACAAAGATTTTCCCACGGTAGCTAACTGTGATGAATGATGTAACTTTTCCTATACACAGTGTGACCAATAGTGTTATCAGGATTTCGGATAATTAAAACATCTAGGAAAGCTAAAGAATAGTTTGCCTTTAACTCCATTGTGAATTGTATTTTAGAGTTTACGGAATTAAGATGGTCTAAAAATGCAGTTACTTTGTCAGATGGTAAAATTGTGAAAGTGGCGTCTTCGTACCGCTTGTAGAATCTTGGACTTACAGGAGCAGTAAGTAGGGCTTTCTCCTCAAACTCATCCATGAATATGTTGGCGACTACGGGAGATACAGGCGAGCCCATCGTCAAACCATCTACTTGCTTGTAGAACTCCTTCTTCCACAATAGATAGCCAGATGTAAGGCAGTGATTGGGTAATACTGCATATTCTGTAGGCATTTTGTATTCTTCTAGCTTCCTGGTTACAATTGAGATGCAGTCTTTAATAGGTAGGCATGTGAATGGTGAAAACTGACCATAGTTTCATTGTTAGCGAGATGTAGGTCTTTTATCTCACTAACAAAATGGTACGAATCGACTACAAATCCTCGCAAACGAACACCGATTCCTACCAAAGATGATACGCGAGGCTATTTAAATTAAAAAACATCCTAATTTTAATAGAGAAGATGGATGGGTGCTACCATCTGCTTGGGATCCTATAATTAACAAAATTAAATCCAAACCCAAGCATACCACAGCAAGACTTCAAGATACTGTAAGTTCATTCTGCGTAAATCGAACCAAAAATTAATATTAAAAAAACTGAAGGTAGCCGGGCTAAATGTGACATTGGGACCTCAAACATCTCAGTCCCCCCCCCCCTCCCCGTGACCATGGGTTTCTGTAAAGCACCCGAAACGTCGGGAATTATAATTTAAAATAAAAAATTTTGTACAGCCGACTTCAATATAACTTATTAAGAAGAACTCAAAATTATTGGTCTGACCTTGATTCTTGATGAGACCACACAAGAAGTATCAGCTTTCATATAAAAAAAGAATCATCGAAATCGGTTCACCCAGTAAAAAGTTATGAGGTAAGACACATAAAAAAAAAACAAAAAAAGACTTACAGTCGAATTGAGTACCGTCTCCTTTTTGGAAGTCGGCAGAAAACAGTAAATTAAACGCGATGAAATCCGTACAAAATCATTTTATTCAATGTGCAGTGTTCGTGTAAATATAATAAATCATTACGTCAAGTATATTGCCATAAAGACGAACGTGTGCACTGTAATGTGCAACACTCTTTCTTCATCATTATCATCATTACAGCCCTTCACAAGTCCACTGCTGAACATAGGCCTCCCCCAAAGAATGCCACAAAGTATGGTCCTGAGCCACCTGCATCCATCGACGTCCTGCATGTCTTACCTGGTCGTTACTCCATTTAGTGGGGGGACGCCCTACACTTTGGCCGCCGGTACGAGGCTGCCACTCGAGAACCTTTTTTCCCCATCGGTTGTCGGTTCTTCGAGCTATATGGCCGGCCCATTGCCACTTCAGCTTTATATCCTCCGATATCGATATCGATATCCTCATTTCTAAGTTTATCACGCAGAGAAACTCCGAGCATAGCCCTCTCCATAGCTCGCTGAGCGACCTTGAGCTTCCTCATCTGGCCAGCAGTGAAGAACCACGTCTCAGTTCCATAGGTCATCACTGGCAACACGCACTGGTTGTACAGTCTCGTTTTCAAGTTTTGAGGTATACCTGACGAGAAGATGTGCCGTAATTTCCCGAACGCTGCCTAACCGAGTTGAATCCGTCGATTGACCTCTCGGTCGAAGTTGGACTTACCTAGTCGGAATATTTGTCCCAGGTAAACATACTCGTCAACAACTTCGAGTTTAGTGCTCCCAACAACTACTCGCATAGGTGTGACATAGACATTAAACATGATCTTTGTTTTGTCCATGTTCATCTTAAGACCTATTCGTTGGGAAACACTATTGAGGTCATTGAGCATAGTGCTTAGGTCCTCCAGCGATTCTGCCAAAAGGACTATATCGTCGGAAAATCGAAGGTGAGTGACGTACTCGCCATTGATGTTAATACCGTATCCTTTCCAGTCCAGAAGCTTGAAAACGTCTTCCAATGCAGGGGTGAAGAGTTTCGGGGATATAACGTCACCCTGTCTTACAACTCTCTGCAATTGGATAGGTTTCGTACTCTGGTTCTGTACTCGGATAGCCATCGTAGCCCTATTGTACAAGCACTTCAGCACTTCGATAGTCAACTTGGCACCGCTGAAGGGACTGCAGCACCGCCCAAAGTTCGACGGAATCAAAGGCTTTCTCATAGCCCACATACGCCAGACATAGTGGCAAATTGTGCTCCTCGGACTTTTGTATAATTTGCCGAAGGGTATGATGTGTTCTATGGTGCTAAAGCCCTTTCGAAAACCGGCTTGTTCGGGAGGCTGGAAGTCGTCAAGTCTACACGCGAAACGATTCGTCGAACGACTCTCGAAAACAGCACGCAGACGCGGCTCAGAAGGGAAATCGGTCTATAGTTCTTCAAGAGAGCGTTGTCACCTTTCTTGAAGAACAAGACCACCGCACTTCTGCTCCACGCCTCCGGTGTAATGCCACCATGGAGGACGGAATTAAAGAGCTTCTGAAGGTCTTCAAGTACCGGTTTTCCACCCGCTTTCAGAAGCTCCGCTGTAATTCCATCCTCGCCTGGGGCCTTGCCGTTTTTCAGGTGCTGGAGAGCCATTCTAATCTCGCTTAGACTGACGTCCGGGATATCATCGGAATAATGTCGGATAAGACTCGCTCTTGGATCGTTACTCACACTTGCGTGTGGCTCCAACGATGACGTGTACAGCTGCCCATAGAACCTCTCAATCTCATTCAAAATCTCAGGTGTCCCGGAAACGATGCTGCCACACTCGGTCTTCAGCTTTCACAGTTGGCTCTTTCTGGCAGACAGATCTCTGGGAAAGACTTTGGAGCCTTGGTTCCGCTCGATCGCTTCTTCAATACAAGCTGTATTGAAGTTGCGTGAGTTCCGCCGCATTGCATTTGGAGATTCAGTTGCCTGTATGCTGTTGAAGAATGTAGCTTCATCTCTCGTCTAACAGCCATGAGATTAAGAGTGTGATCGGAGAGTTTTTGTGTTCTTCTGCGGTGGGTCTTGCTAAACTTAGCTCCGACCGCATGGACAGTTTCCACGAGTATGTCATTCATATCGTCCACTGCATTGCAATCTACTAGGCACTGAAAACAATTTTGTAACTGGAGCTGAAAGGTTGAACTTTGGAACAGAGCACGAGGGGGACGGAGCGTTGATTTCATTAGACGAGACCTCTCCAACTTAACGTTTAGGTTCAATGTGCCTCTAACTATTCGGTGATCGCTACCAGTTTTCACCCTCGCGATCACGAATACATCACTGAACAGTTGTCGTCTGGTTGTCATAATGAAGTCAATCTCATTTTTTGTTGAACCGTCGGGGCTCGACCAGGTCCACTTTCTGTGGGGCCTCTTCTGGAAGAAAAAGTTCATCATAAAGAGTCCCTCTTTCTTCATGAAGTCAGCCAGCTGCTGGCCCCTTGCGTTCCGTTGCCCTATTCCGTATTTACCTACTTTCAGCTCACCGTACTCTCTAGTACCTAGTTTTGCGTTAAAGTCTCCCATTAACACCGTATAGTGAGTTTTGGAGGAATGCATGGCTCTAGAGATATCCTCATACATTTCCTCCACCTTCTCATCGGGGTGTGCCAAGGTTGGTGCGTAAACCTGTATGATCTTCAGCGTTTGGTGATTCTGAGTATAAGGTACGCAACCCTCGTCGACACACTCCCAATCTTTACAACGTTGTTAACGAGAGACTTGTGGACGATAAATCCGACATCTCCTTGGGACAGATGGTCCCCCTCCCGGTGATAGAACAAGTTGCCGGATTCGAGGATTATCGTATCCTCCCCCTCTCTTCGGACCTCGGATAGTCCTATAATATTCCAGTGCAACTTCTATCTCTTCTTCCAGCTCCAGGATCTTCTCGTCAGTCCTCAGAGTGCGTGCGTTATAGGTTGCCAGGTCGAGTCGTCGTAGGTGGCAACCGAACCTCCACCGGAGATTCTTAGTACCCCTGCCCTGCCGTTACCATGGTCGCCACCGTAGCCATGAATAGCGGGGCCGCCGGGGACTGGGGGCCGTCTCTTCGTTACTTTCATGGGGGGTATATTGCCATAGATGCCACGCTTGGCGAGCGGGTTGGCAACCGCAGTTTTTTTTATTGTGATATTGGGAGAATAGAGAAATTTACTGAATTCATGATCAATATATATATATATATATATATATATATATATATATATATATATATATATATATATATGTATATATATTGTATGTATTTAAGTAGATTTATGTATTTGTGTACGTCTGTAATAATTATTAATTAATATAATAGATTTATATAATATATAATAAAATAAAAATAAATTAAGAATTAAAAGTGGCTCCATACCCCTACTAGAAACGTATGGTACGAAACCCTTAATGCGCGAGTCCGACTCGCAATTGGCCGGTATTTTCTCATTATAGTTTATTTTTGCTGCACTACCTCCCATATCTTTATCTCTGCTGAAAATCCCTTAAGTCATTAAGTCCGTCATATGTACGATTTTATTTTTTGTGCATAAAAGTTTAACTAAATAAATAAACACTCCTTCTTGATTGTCTTTAATTAACAATAGGAAAATAATTTAAGTTTAGCTACGGGCGGCCCCTCACTAGATAAAGTGACGACCCGGTAAGAAATGCAGGAAGACGATGGATGCAGGTGGCTCAGAACCGTGGCTTTGTGGTATTTGTTGGGGATGCCCTATGCTGTAATGATTATGATGATGATTACTGTGCTTGGATGCTTGGTTAAAAGAAAATCTAAGACAGAATTTTTTTTAACTATCCAGATTTCAATGGCGGTATGTTCTATCCTGTACCAAGCGGCAACAAGACTGAAAGAGCAAGAGAAGATGGCGGAAGAAATTAGGAGGGTGCTGCCGGATCCAAATCAACCTCTAACTTACTCGGATTTGGACAAACTACAATATACTAAAGCTTTCGTGAGAGAAGTTTTTAGGTTAGTCATTTTTCGTAATTATTAAAAATATGTCTAATTAGAAAATATGATACTGCTCGATGACGTTGATGTTCTACTGAACAATTAAGACTATGGCAACGATTTTGAGCCATTTTCGGAATCTATCAATTGCTTAGGATATTTAATATTTTATTACCAGTGCACGCACAAACACATCTATGTACTTGCAAACCGGAACACAATAGTAGATGCCCTGCTGCTTACCGGCAAAAGTAGGTAAGAGGATGGTATCTGTATAGGAGTACTTCTAGAATACAAAAGGAGAAACGAAAGGATTTGGCATAAAATATTTTTCTATCTAAATACGTCCAATTGATAGTGTATACTCGAAGGACTGTTTATAGACGATAGACGATAACAGCTTATTGCTACTAGGGAAATTAAATTAGATGGCGCCCTAGGGCTTGTTCGATAAGACGGCTATATTGTTTTGTAATGTCGTTAAAACAGTTCCATCCTTGAATTATATACAAATCATAAAAAGAAAACTAAATAGTTTGGAAAATCAAATAGTGCACGTCACATGAGCGTTTCACTTAATTTTGATGAAAAATATAAATAAATTGTATCCCTGACTTTTAAAATATATTATTTACGCATTTTAAATTTAGCGCTTTATTATTTTAACAGGTAGTGCCACCAACAGGGAAAAAGTAATAATGTTCACCAAAATAAATCGATTACACATAGTATAAAATTGATATAGGCTGTAGGATACGTTTGTCCTTTCCTTTGTCTTTCAAAGGCTAAAAAAATATGAAAGCGCCTTTAAAATTTGAATAGCAATAAAACTTGAATATCATTTTATTAACAAACTACTAGGGTATTGATATAAAATATGGAACCAGTTGATGTAATTCTGAAGCTAATAAAAATAACCCGGTCTCGATATGTAAATTTTTTCGGGAGTTATCGTGACCACATACAAAATCAACATCCGGCGGTCCACTTAAATTTTATTTCAAACTGTCTCTTTTTTTAAAGTAGCAATATTAATGATTTTTTAGAAAATATAAAATGGATTAATTCGAGTGTTTTCTTGATATACGTCTACTCATATTATTGTATAAGTGCGAAATGGTTCTGATAGAAGCATTTTAAGAACATAATATTGCGTGACCTTGACGTATCAAGAGTAGTGCACTACCTAATAACACTGCGTTATGAGGCGCGCAATTGATAGTAAAATTTTGCTATCCTTTAAAGTTTTACGCCTTAGGTCCAGGCATCATAGGGCTAAAGTTAAACAGTTGGTGCTTATTACATACAATTTTACACTAAGTAATATTTTTTTTAAAATTTATGTTAAATTTGAACGTTAAAGCTTGCTCTATTTTTCTGCCTACAGAATGTATTCAACCGTCATCGGCAAAGGAAGAACATTACAAGAAGATGACGTTATTTGTGGTTATCACATTCCTAAAGGGGTAAGAATATTTTAATAAAATAAACATATAACAGTTGAACGTGTAGTGCCAGTGTAAGAATATCCACTACCGTCGTCCCGATTACCATCGCCCACGTGTGTCGTAAGAGGCAACAGAGGAAAGCAAATCAGAAGATGGACAGTAGCGTTTACGTAGTAACATTATTTAATCTGCGGTATTGTCTTGTAACAACTAAATAATAATAAAAAAACGAGTTGACCAACACGTACGGCCGCCGAGGCAGTTGTGGCAAATCTCCCCTCTAATGTGGCAATCTATGAAGATGTTCAACAGTGGAATTTTGATAGGATGTAACGATAATGGTATAAGGGTCATGTGCATATTATATGATGCATAATGTTACATGTCTAAAGATGTAGCCGCCAGCACACGCCAGTTTTTCATACTTTTCATTTCAACATCAGTTTGCTGCTATCTGCGCAGGAAAGGATTATAGCCTAGTGTGTGCATATCCACGAACGCAATCTCAACTCCTTCATTCTCAAAGCTCGATTGGACAGCAATTTGACACGAAGTGAAAGAGTTTAGACGCAGAACAACTTTATATACTTTTCTTTATATTCTTTTCTGAGGATTTCTTGTTAGCGAACCCAATATAACTGGGAATCGAACCCGGGACCTATCTACTGCCAATGAGGCAGTCATAACAGGCTGCTAACATAATATTAATCGGTTTTGTTTCTTTGTATTGTATTCTAGGTTCAAGTGGTGTTCCCATCGATAGCAACCGGGAATATGGAACAGTATGTATCTGATCCGGATGAGTTCAAGCCGGAGAGATGGCTGCAAAACGAAGGAAGACTGCACTCCTTTGCGTCATTGCCGTATGGCTTCGGGGCGAGAAGCTGCCTCGGTCGGAGATTCGCTGATATGGAAATACAAGTTTTGTTAGCAAAGGTATTACAATAAACATCAATTGCAAAATGGTCGGATTCCTAAGTTCGGATCTTGAATATAAAAAAAATATATAATGATTTTTTAATTGTTTATAAGAGCTCACTTTTTAGCAATGAAGTAATACGTGTTATTTTTCATATTTCCGTTAAAGTTGCAGTCTATCAAAAGCCCACTGCTAAACATAGGCGTCCCTCATAGATTGCCTCATAGGTGGAATATTTGCCATAGTTACCACGCTTTGCAGGCAGGTTGGCAACTGCAGTTTTTTTTTATTATTTAGTTGTAATTAAGAAGACGCTGCTGCCCATCTTCCGTTTTATTTCTCTATCGCCTTTTACGACATCGGATAGTAGATATTCGTACACCGTAACTAAAAGGTGGTTTTCGTGTTTAGCGGTGCCCAATAAAGTAATGCAAATATATACAAATACATATATAAAATAAATACGAAATAAATCCGAAAAAAAAAATGCCCAGTCACATAGAAGTTTATGTTTGAAATATACGTGATATATTTATATATTACCATTTATTGTAAACCATTATAACCTTTCTGACACGTATACAGTTTCTGACCCTGAAAATACAAAATCTGACCTCCGCCAAGTTCAAAAACTGCTAAAAATGCTTTTATATAGCATTTGTTTAATAAAGTTTTTGAACAGGGTGATGAATTCCTTAATAATATCTCTTTACTTTGTGATAATGTTAAGGAGTTTATGGATGATAATAACACCTGGGAATGAGATGATCGCTAGCAAGCTTTTTTTTAAATTTGTTTTGTGTTGTTAACTGTGAATTATTAATTGTAAATTATTGTAAACTATTCTTTTGTTTTTTTTTTTATCCAAGCTGGGTTTCTTATTGTTTCTTCCCAGGACAGTGGTATTTTCCGAACAACTGGTAAATAAAATTTAAGAGTGACTCTTATTAAGTATTATTTTTAATCTATATTGAATAAAGAAGTTTTTATTTCTATGACCATTAAAATAATATGTAGTAGGTAACCATAGACCTCTTTTTATAAAACGGATGTATCTGATAGAGGGAAATATAAACAGGAGACGGGCAGTAGCATCTTCCTGATGACATCACAAAATATTAGTAAGCTGCGGTTGCCAATCCGTCTGCCAAATATGGGAACTATGGCAAACTACTCCCAATGCGGCAATCTTTGAGGGAGGCCTATGTTCAGCAGTAGATTTTTATTGGTTGGTATGAATGAATGAAGAAATGAATTGTTTTATACTTCAATATTTCTGACGCATCTTACAGTAACCATGAGACGTGTAAGATTATTCTATTCATTAATCACCATTATTGTGAGCCAATAAACTAGACATCTTTTGACATACAGATATCTCTTTATATAATTGCCACTTCTAAATGGAAGGGACCTTTTGGCAATAGCATACGAAGTGATAATAGTAATGGGTGGTAAGTGGTAGATACACTAGATGATACAACTCGTTTTCTGCCTAGGTGTCTGTCTCGGTTGGTACCGTCCTCTTACATTCTGCCGCCAAATGCTTGCACTGCAGCGATCCAATCTGAAGGGTATTTAGAGTCAGTTTAATTAAAGGCTGTGTCGAAGTCTTCAGAGGTTACAACACATTCATAGTCTTCGTTTTTTGGAGTTGGTTGCAGATGTCCATATGCTGCAGTATCCACGTAAAAACGTTTATTGTAAAGGTAGCATTAATAATATATTTCGTATTACAGTTGCTCCGCCGCTATCGCCTGGAATATCACCACGAGCCCCTGGAGTACATCGTCACGTTCATGTATGCACCCGACGGTCCACTGAGGTTGAGAATGTTACCACGATAGACTATTGTGGAAAAATTATAGAGTCAATTAAAGATATACATATAGTTTATATTTTATTGTACTGAGAATTTTTTAACTTTGAATTAAAAAAAAAATTGACAAATAAAAAAAGAGTGTCTATCTGTTATGTTAACATTTTAACTGTGTAAAATGAGTTCGTATCTATAAATTTTCGTAAACATTTTTAACCGCGTGAATTTATTATAATAAGTCTAAAACCAATGAAGCTATTTATAGAATATTAATAGTGTGAAAGTTTATTCTTAAAATAATATTTTTTATTATTGTTGGTACAAGATGGTAGGACCAAATCCTGCCTAGATGTTCCTCTTCGTAGATACCAATCAATTATCTATTGGTGTCGTAATCAGTAGAGTACCAACTGTTGTTTTACGATTCTAAGGGTAAGACCGCCGGTATGATTAGAAACTGCGCCGGCATCTAAGCTGTCAGAGAATCGACAAGTGACAACGCGTCTGTGACCTTCTTGGCTCGTTTACTATTAGATAGATTTTTAAAATGTTTTTTACTCAAATATCATAAAAAGATTTGAATGGTTATTGTATAGATTTTATTTTTTAGATATTATTTTTGTAGTGAAAACTTCTTTAGCATCGTGGTGATTTGATATATATATATATATATATATATACTATTTTTACTTACTTTAAATTTAGTACCTACAAGCGGTTCTTGCTTTAGTAAATTTTATGATATGGAAGAGGGGCTCACTTCTGATACGGGCGCATTATGCGTTCAATAGAAGAAGTCTACCATGGTGTATGTATTTGTAAGACCGTGTTTATGAATAAAACATTTTGTTTTTATTTTTTTTTATTTTAAGAAAGTGATCATATTGACCGGATGGCTATATTACCCTCACATCTTATAATATATAAGACTATAGGATAGGCAAGGTATTCTATACATATATCATACATATGTACATGTAATATACTCGTAAATCTATTATATTAATTAATAATTATTACAGACGTACACAAATACATAAATCTACTTAAATACATACAATATATATGTGTATAATATATATATATACTGGGTGGCGCCCAGGTTATCACGTTAAATAGCACAACAGTTAATACAAGTTGATATATGTCTGTTAAAATAATAAAATAAACAATAATAAAAACTAATAAAAAATGCATCTTTCAAACAAAATAAATAGGGTAAAAAATCACATAAAATAAATCATCCTTGATAATATTACTTAACTGACCTGAAATGACTTGTTGAAGCGGCAACGTCGCGGCCAGCGGTTCATTGCTCATGCGACATCGATATAGGTAATTATATTATAATACCTAGGTCCTAGGACTTGCCCATACATAGGTAATTAGGCACGCGTAGGGCGATGCTAATCCGATGTTATCAACAAATCACAAATTTCATGGTATTTTTTTATCCAAATAATCACTTTAACCTTGAAATCACTCAAGTTTATGAAACAAATCAAATTTTTAAATTTTCAAAATGTCCGCCGTGTACCCGAATGCATAATTGACATCGTCGCATGATATTATTTCGGACTTTTCGAAAGAGGGCACCATTGGCTGCAAAATTTTTTATTTTGTCGAAAGCCCGCATTATTCTTATTTTTAAGTCCTCGACAGTCGTTACTTCAGTAGAGTACACCTCATTTTTTATGTAACCCCATAAAAAGAAATCTAACGGTGTTAGATCCGGAGACCGTGCTGGCCACCGAGAAGGTCCGTATCTGCCAATCCAGTTCTCTCCGAACATCTCAGTGAGGCGCTGCCTGGCAGCCACCACTGAATGAGCAGGTGCTCCATCAAGCTGGTACCATAACCGGCTATTGGCCCCCAACGATAGTCCATCAACGTAATCCGCCACTGTGTCGTCAAGCAGTTCCAAAAATTTAGGCCCATTAAGGTTGCCTTCGATAAACACGGGACCAATTATTTGATCTCCGTGTATTCCAGCCCAAACATTAACGGCAAATCTATATTGGTGCATAGACTCTCGACACAGTTGCGGATTTTCTTGACTCCAGTATCGTAAGTTCTGCCGATTCCATATTCCGTTACGCGTGAATGTGCTCTCGTCAGTCCACATTACGTTTGCTAAAAAGTTAGAGTCATTAGCTACTTTGCTCAGGAGCCATTCACAGTAGGCTTCCCTAACTGGCTTATCTCTATCTAATAAAGCCTGTACCTTTACGTATTTGAACGGCCGTTGCTTGTTTTTTTTTAATATTCTGTGAACAGACTTGTGGTGTACACAGAATTGGCGAGCTGCTCTACGGAGACTTGATGTTGGATTACGAGCGAAATAATTTAATATTCGTTCTTCCTGAGCCACGGCGACTCGCGGAGGAATTTCAACCTGACGTGGAATCAAATTTTCGCCGTCACGTAATCTTTGGACTGCCCGTATAAAAATCCGTAAGTCTGTAGGACATACACGTGTGGTATTATACCTCTCTCGGTATGTTCGTAATGCCAGGGACGCGTTTTGGTGGCATTCTCCATAAATTAAAACCATATCGGTGTATTCCAATGACGTAAAATTGATACGAGGCATTTTAAAATAAAAAAAGTTATACGTTTAAAAAAATAAAAGCGTCCAATTGCGCACGGGCTGACACACCAATAAGTTATTAAATATCACTTATCTATTATTAACGAGTCCTATCACAAATAAAAAATACAAGACAGTAAAAGAAAGCGTCAAATTTCGCACAAATAGTCACACCACCTCCTCAACACAATTATTATTATAGTATTAACGTGTCCTATCACAAACAAATCAAGAAACTTATGAAAATATCCACAAAAAAAAAACTTTAAATTAAAAGGACGTGTACGCGAAAAACTAAAATTAGGTCAAGCGATTAATGAACCGTTCCCAAGGACGCCGGCGTCGGACTAAGTGACTTACTGTCTTACTTTATCGTCGCACGCGCCAATCGACCACATCCCACCCTCCCAACACCCCGTCCCAATTCTTGTCGCATCGCATTTGCTTAATTTATTACTTTATTTGATTATTTAAAATTGGCAACGTTGCACTATAATACAATATAGGTCTCTTGGCCTTCACGGGCCATGGGTCTTTGAACTTCTAGTATTTATCAGGTGATATCTGATGCATTTACATGATGTTGTTTAATATAAAAACAAAAAAAAGGCTACCGCGCCCACAATGTTAATTGTTATATATTTTTTTAGTTGTGTATGTTTAAAGAACTTTGTATAGAATACGTCTTTTCATTTAACGTGATAACTTCATCGTCACTTTGTATATATATATATATATATATATATATATATATATATATATATATATATATATCACAATATCACAATAAAAAAACTGCGGTTGCCAACCCGCTCGCCAAGTGTGGCAACTATGGCAATATAACCCCCATGAAAGTAACGAAGAGACGGCCCCCAGTCCCCGGCGGCCCCGCTATTCCTGGCTACGGTGGCGACCATGGTAACGGCGGGGCAGGAGGTGCTAAGAATCTCCGGTGGAGGTTCGGTTGCCACCTACGACGACTCGACCTGGCAACTTATAACGCTCGCATCCTGAGGACTGACGAGAAAATCCTGGAGCTGGAAGAAGAGATAGACAAGTTGTGTTGGAATATCATAGGATTATCCGAGGTCCGAAGAGAGGGGGAGGACACGGTAATCCTCGAATCCGGCAACTTGTTCTATCACCGGGAGGGCGACCATCTGTCCCAAGGAGATGTCGGATTTATCGTCCAAGTCGCTCGTTAACAACGTTGTAAAGATTGGGAGTGTATCGACGAGGGTTGCGTACCTTATACTCAGAATCACCAAACGGTATTCGCTAAAGGTCATACAGGTTTACGCACCAACCTCGGCACACCCCGATGAGAAGGTGGAGGAAATGTATGAAGATATCTTTAGAGCCATGCATTCCTCCAAAACCCACTATACGGTGTTAATGGGAGACTTCAATGCAAAACCAGGTACTAGAGAGAACGGTGAGCTGAAAGGAGGGAAATTCGGAATAGGGCAACGGAACCCAAGGGGCCAGCAGCTGGCCGACTTCATGAAGAAAGAGGGACTTTTTATGATGAATCTTTCTTCCAGAAGCGGCCCCACAGGAAGTGGAGCTGGTTGAGCCCCGACGGTTCGAGAAAAAATGAGATTGACTTCACTATGATCACCACACGACAACTGTTCAGTGATGTCTCAGTGATCGCGAGGGTGAAAACCTGCAGCGATCACCGAATGGTGAGAGGCACACTGAACCTAAACGTAAAGTTGGAGAGGTCACGTTTAATGAAGTCAACGCTCCGTCCCCCTCGTGCTCTAATCCAAAGTCCCGAAACTTTTCAGCTCGAGCTGAGAAACCGTTTTCAGTGCCTAGAAGATTGCAATGCAGTGGACAATATGAATGACAAGCTCGTGGAAACTGTCCATGCGGTCGGAGCTAAGTTCTGTAAGATCCGCCGCAGAAGAACACACAAACTCTCCGATCACACTCTTAATCTCATGGCTGTTAGACGGGAGATGAAGCTACATTCTTCAACAGATTTGACAGCATACAGGCAACTGAACAGACAGATCTCCAAATGCATGCGGCGGAACTTACGCAACTTCAATACAGCTTGTATTGAAGAAGCGATCGAGCGGAACCAGGGCTCCAAAGTCTTTGCCAGAGATCTGTCTGCCAGAAAGAGCCAACTGTCAAAGCTGAAGACCGAGTATGGCAGCATCGTTTCCGGGACACCTTACATTTTGAATGAGATTGAGAGGTTCTATGGGCAGCTGTACACATCATCGTTGTAGCCACACGCAAGTGTGAGTAACGATCCAAGAGCGAGTCTTATCCGACATTATCCCGATGATATCCCGGACGTCGGTCTGAGCGAGATCAGAACGGCTCTCCAGCACCTTAAAAACGGCAAAGCCCCAGGCGAGAATGGAATTACAGCGGAGCTTCTGAAAGCGGGTGGAAAACCAGTACTTGAAGTCCTTAAG